CATGTGTATAAAATCAGGCTAATTTAAAGATGAATTAGGTGTGTGTGTTTTAGACCATTTTCTTTTAATGTTAAGTGTTTGATGGCTCCTGTCAGGTTATGTGGTCCCCAAATTTGTGCAAGGGTCAAAATGAATACGCTTTTAAAGAATTATTAAATCTTATATCCAGATGAGCTGTATTAGAATAAAAACGAATCAATGAAATCCCTAAGCGCTCCATAGGGAGCATGTCTAGGACGTGCATTGTGCAAGAGCTTGGACCTGTTACCTTATTTTTCCTTCCCTCTGGGACCTCCTGTGGTCTGGAGCCAGAGAATGTACCCTCTGCTGCTTTGTTCGGAGGGCACTGGTTAGCCTGTCACTCTGACCTTGCAGGCTTTACCCATAGTGCTTTGAAACCAGGGTTTGCCAGGGGTCGGCTAGAGTGTTGTTCTGGAATGGTGCTCAGCCGGTATCAAGTAGACAGCACTAAGAGCATATTTAACGTCCTTCCATTTTTTAGAAGCAAAATCATAGCAAATGTTCCTTTTAATTCTGTAAACCTGTAGTGTTTAATATGGTAGCCACCAGCCACGTGTGGCCATGGAATACTTGAAATGCAGCTAATCTGAATTGAGATGCACTGTAAGTGTAAAATACTCACTAGATTTCAAAGACTTAATGTGAGTAAAATAATGTAAAATATCACAATAATTTAAAAATATTGGTTACACATTGAAGGGATAATGTTTTGGACACGTTGGGTTAGATGAAATACATATTAAGATTAACTGTGCCTGTTGCTTTTTCCTTTTATTAATGTGGCTACTAAAAAGTTTAAAATTACATGAATGGCTTGCATTATATTTCTATTGGACAGCATTGCTGTGCCATTAAATCAGAATCATTCAAACTTTGATAATAATAACATGTAACATTTTTAGGATACTTAGAAGATCCCAAGCTCTTTACTATATGATCTAATTTTGAATCTTGTTTTGAATAGAAAAAAAGCAAAGCCAAAATTGGTAAGCCTCCTTTTCCACTCTGTTTCTCACACTAGTTTTTGTGGGGATCTTTTCAGAGTTTCTTTATGCAGTGTATTACCATGTTTAATTCTCACACCAACACTATGAAATAGATACTACGATCATCCCCATTTAACATATAAGGAAGCAGACTTAGAGGTTTAGGTAACCAGCCCGTGGTCCTTTGGCTAATACCTGGCAAGGCCAGGGTTTGACTCCAGGCGTTTCTGAAAGCAGAACTTCTATGAGCCAATTAAATATTTTGGTAATTAGGCAAAGATAATGCCACTAAATTTCTCTGTGACCCTGGGAAAGTCTCTGTGTCTTTCTGTGCTCTACTTTCCTCGTTAAGTGATTGGACTCCAGATGCTGTTGGGGGTCCCTTCTAGCTCTTCGAGTGTAGGAGAGCCCATTTCACTCTCCCCATTTTGCTTCTCTTCTCCCTCATGCTTCGGACCCTGTGCCCATCTCAGAGGATCAGAGGACCAGAGGACCAACAGCGTAGACTGAATGATGGGAAAGCAGGATGGAGGAATGGTTAGCAGGGGAGGAAGAAGCAGCAGGGCGAGCAGCATGAGGGAGTTTACCAGTGATGGACAACTCAGTACCGTTGTGTGGAGTGAACGCCCCATGGGGATGTTCGCATAGAACAGAGCCCAGGACCTTGACACAGACCTGCCCTCAGCCTCAGCAAAGGTCTGCTTTCTATCTCGAAATATGAAAACTGTGGAGGTGTTCTAGGAGGGCAGTGAACATGCACAAAGGTTTGGGAAACGACTTTTCAGGGAAGGACCAGATCGAGGCAAGGTGAAGTCCATACAGCCTAGAGGTTAGGTGAATGGGTTCTGAGGCAGATTGGGGTCAAGGCTGGACTTTGCCCCTTACCAGGTGTCTGATGCTGAGCAAGTTTAAGCCTCCCTAAGCTGCAGCATCCTAATCTGTGAAATGGGATGATAACTGTGCTCACCACTTGGGTGGCGGTGGGGATTAAGTGATACATAGCAATAACAGCTGACACATTTTGAATGTTTACTATGTGCCAGGCACTCTGTATGTACACAAACATATCAGTGCTTGTTGGGACTCAGCCTGAGCCTGCAAACTTCTAATAAGAATACAATGAGTGGGGCTCTTGTCACGATCTTAACCGTGTCTAGGAAAGATCCTTTGGCTGCATTCTTGTCCTGCTGTGTGGCTTTTGGTGAAGTTACTTAACTTTTCTGAGCCTCAGGTGACTCATTTATAAAATGAGATGATAGGACTTGCCTGGTGGTCCAGTGGTTAAGACTCCATGTTCCCAATGCAGGAGGCAAGGGTTCGATCCCTGGTTGGGGAACTAAGATCCACATGCTGCACAGCATGGCCAAAAAACAAAACAAAACAAAAATCAAATTCTCCAGCATACTGCACGGGGCGGCCAAAAAAAAAAAAAAAAAAAAAAGAAGAAGAAAAAGAAAATGAGATGATTAAAGCAGATGATTTGTAAGGCCTTTTCAGCTCTAAAATACTGTGCAATTCTGGAAATAGGATTTATTTAGTGTTGAGAAGGCTAAAGGGGATACTAAAATATGAACTTCATAAATAAAAAAATATATATGATTATTATAAATCTGAGGGATGGTGAACAGCTGTTCTCTTTTGGCTGAGGACAGGACATGAGGCAACATATTTTAATTGTTTTAGATTAGACATTTGGAAGCCTTTTGTGACTTGGGAGAAAGACTAATATGTCATTGGAGCAGGCTCTGGAGCTGCACACTCTGAACTCACCAAAGCAGACAGTTGGCTATTTTTCTGTGTGATGTAACTTCACCACACAGCCCTTCCTTGACCCCCGATCTAAAGTAGACACCGCCCCCCACACTGTATTCTTTCTTCACATTTCACCCTGTTGCTTTTCTCTGTAGCACTTATGACATTTTGTAATTGCATATTTATTTTGTACTTAGCATTTAATGTCTATTTTTTTTGAGTTTTATTTATTTTTTATACAGCAGTTTCTTATTAGCTATCCATTTTATACATATTAGTGTATATATGTCCATCCCAATCTCCCAATTCTGTCTCTTTAGATTGTCAACCATCTAAAGGCCGGGTTGGTCGCTATTTGGTTCACCTACTATGTACCTAGTTCTAACACGGTGGTCATCACATAGCAGGTGCTCAGTAAATATTTGTTGAATGAATAAGTGGGTGAATGAGTTTCAGAGGTGGTTGATTTGGGGGTAATACTTCCTGATGGAGGTGGATCCTCTGCTTGCCTTTTTTGGTAAGAAAATCCCAAAGACCTTGTCTTTCAAGGGACTTTAGATACTGTTTCTCCTTCCCACCATCATCTCCTGGGGGCTGGTCATGCACGGGTGTGAGTTTCTTCAGTTTTAATGGGCTGCCTGAGCACCCTTTCTTATGGGCTGGCCAGCCTGCATCTGGCTCTGGTGGAGGAGATAGAAGGGGAATGTGGAGCTCCATTTGAATAAAGGCCAGTGGAACGCAGGTTGGTTGTGCTCGTTATTTCTGTCTGTTCCCCCAGAACAGCCTTTTGCCCTTCTTTACGCTGCCCTGGGCCCCAGGAAGCTGACCTCAATGGCTGCATCATTGAGGCTCCCTTGCCCTCTGGTTTCTGGTTGAGCTTGGCCAGTGGGAGGGCAAAGCAGGAAGACAGGGCAAGGAGAGAGAGGTTGGGTGCGTTGTGCCCGAGAGCTCTCCATGGCTCTCTCCAGGTCTTGCAAACACACTCTCTCTGTCCCTCCAGGGATAGCAGGGCTCATGACCCCACCACTGTTAACTGCCCTGGTGCTTCCCCATTCCTTGTCCCCTAATTCCTGTCCACACCTCTGTAAACTCCATACAGATGGGCCATTCGTTCCCCTGACCGTTTGCTCCGGCACCACCCCCTCATGGTCTTTCACCCGTCTTACCTGATACAGGGTAGGGACTACGCATCTAATCACAGGGGGTAGGAAGTGCAGGGTCCGGGGAGAGGTTGGAGGAATATTTTGTAGTAAATCCGAGTATGATCGCCTGTACCTGAGGTTTCTATTTTTAATGAAAATAACAGAAAAAAAAACCAAACAAACCCCAAAACAAACCAAAAGACCCTCAAGCACCCTCCTTTGGGTTAGGAGTTGGGGGAATTCTTGAGAAAGGGGTTCAGTTTCTCTCTCCGATTTCTCTCATGGGCAGGGCCGGCACTGGTTGCCACTGCTCAGGTGGCCCCATGATCTCAAGCCCCACGAAACCAATCAGACTCTGATGTCTTCAGAACAAACGCCCCAGTGTGCGGGCACTGCAGCTCCCAGCTGCTGATCAGGGGCCTGTTAGGCATCTGCTCTCGTTCTTTTTCTTCACTGGGCTTCAGAGGCCTTTACTTCCCTGGTGAGTTGATAAGAACAGCCTCTCTGAGGTTGAAATAGCTTTTCATGGAGCAGACTGGAGCTGGGCAGCCAGCATGGCCGGGGGGAGGTCATGGAGTTGGCAGACAAGAGTTGGCATAGAGGGAGAAGATAATAAAACTCGAGGCCGACATTGGTGCACCGCTTTAGAGTTTTCAAAGCGCTTGAATGTAAAGGAACACATTTATGCTCCACAAAATGGCCTGGTGGGGTGCTGGGCATTGTCACCCTCACTTTGTAGATGTGCAAAAGGGCTCGGGGATCCTTGAGCGCCTCGCCCAAAGTCACAGAGCCAGAGGGTGGCAGAAGCAGGACAGAGACGCAGGCCGTCTGACCCCGTGTTCTTCTGGCGCCCCTTCTGCCCTGTCTCCGCCGTCTCTGAGGGAGCAGGCAGGGCTGGGCTCTGGCTCTGGGACTGTGAACTGGAGATGGAAAAGCTGAACTCCAGTGTTCCTGTTCGTCCCGGAGGAGAGATCGCAGGCATCTTGAATCCTTGCCGGGGGCTGCGGTTCCCCCATGCCCCCAAGGGCCACCCTTCCTGTCCCTCCTGTCTCTCCTGTTTCCAGTGGCCTGACACTGCTTTTCTGTCCTTGTTTTTCAGAAGTGGAGCTGCCTCTGAAGAAAGATGGGTTCACCTCAGAAAGCACCACCCTGGAAGCCTTGCTCCGTGGCGAGGGGATCGAGAAAAAGGTGGACACCAGGGAGGAGGAAAACATCCAGGAAATACAGGTATTTCTGTGCTTGCGGGACGGGTTGGGGGTGGCCCCCAAGCATCACCATCATGCTTCCGGAACTCCAGCCCCAGCTCTGGTCATTCTCTCAAGGGCCAGGGCTGCGTCTCAACTTCCCACCACAACTGGGAAGCTGGCCTTGGTCTCCCTGTTAGTCCACTCAAAATGTAGTTTTGGAGCCTACGGTGCGCCAGGCACCGTGCGAGGTCCTGGGGACACAGTGGTGAGTGAAACTGACCGCATCCTCTTTCCGGCCCCCGGGAGCCAGCAGCCACAGCCCAGGCTTGGAAAGCTCAGTTGTTTGGGGCAGCCAGCCCCCGCAGGGATCCCCACCGCACCCCTGCCTCACACCCCCTCATCAGCTCTAGTTCACCGGCTGTCTTGTCCTTCCCCAGCACCACCCGCCTGTCCTTCAAGGCCAGTTTAGAAGTCATCCCCCAGGCAGGTTGGTGGCTCCCGTCCTCATGTGTTCACCACCCTCTATGCACAGCATGGCTAAGGCTGCCACCACGCAGGGTCACCATGCAGGATTACAATGGTGTGCTCTGACGGTGTCTTATTTACGTGTCTTGAGTCCCCATTGTTGAACCCAATGGTTGGCACAGAAGCTCGTAATAATATTAATGAATACAAATATGAAATTGTAGTTTTTAATAATTAAACATAATGAAATTATTAAAATTAAATTACATTTGTATTACATTAATACTTTATATTAAAATTATACATTTTATGTTATACATATATCATACAATTACATATTTATTAATTTTATATCCAATCTAATATTCACATATTAATTTATTAACATTGTAATTAAATGACTACCAGTAAAATGTTTGGTTTGCGTCGTCAGTACCACAGTGTGTGGGTTCCGTCGAGTCAGAGACCGTGCCTTCGTGTTCCCTGTTGTACCCTTGGGGCCTTGCATGTGCTCAGCAGAGTCTGGTCTCAATAAAGGCGTTGAATGAGTCAGTGAATGTGGCCTCTTTCTCCTCCATTCCTGCGTTTAGATGAATGGTCCAGTCTTTTCCATCTGGTCGTCACAACATGGCTTATATTTGTTCCCTCCTCTACTTGTCAGACCTACAGCCCTAGTAAAGATCCTTATTGACTGAAACCTTTATATGTCTGACACACCTTGGAGTTGTCTTCGACCCTTGTCTTTCTCTCACACCCAATATCCATTCATCAGGAATCCTGTCCACTGTGCCCTCAACACAAATCCAGAGCGTGGCCCCTTCTCACCACATCCACTGCTGCTGCCCTGGTCCAAGGCACTCACATCTCCTGTCTGAACGGTTGCAATTGCTTTCTAAGTAGTCCCCTGCTCATGGCTGAGAGGGAGACTTTCCCGTGCTCAAACCCTGCACTGGCCCCTGTGCTCCCGCGAAAAAGTCGCGGCCCCCTCACCTCTCTCTGACCCGCTTCTTCCTCTCTTCCTGGCTGACTCAGCTCTAGGCGCACCGACCTTCGGCTACTCACGTACACACCAGGTGCGCTGCACCTCCGGCTCTGCTCTGGCTGCTTCCTCTGCCTCACAGCCCTCTCCCCATATGCTGGGCTCTCAGCCTCACCTTCTTCCAAGTTTTGGTTCCTGTCTCTTCTTATCTGTGAAGTTTACCCTGACCACTGAATGTAATACCACATCCTGTGCCCTCTCCGCCCCGCAGCACTCCCAATTCTCTTACTCTGCTTTCCTTTTCTTTTTCTTTTTCCCCATAGGTTTTACCAGCATCTAACATACTTTATAATTTACTGATTTATGATGCTATTGTTTATTTTCTGTTTCCTTCTAGTAGAATGTAAACTCCTCAAGGGCAGGAATCTTTGTCTCTCTTGCTTGCACCCCTTTGTATCGCAAGACCTAAACAGTGCCTGCACATAGCAGGTGCACAATAAACATTTATTGTGTGGATGCACGAGTGAACAGATTCCTGTGAGTTGCCCGTCCCCAGTCTGTCCCCTCTCCACCATGTCCTACTTTGATAGCTGACCTTCCATCCCAAAACACAATGCTGCTTGTGCCATGCCCTTGTTTAAAAAACTTGGCTAAAACACTTTTGTTTCTCGCTAAATGAATCTAAAGTGATGAGTGTGATCTTCTTGGGCCTCCTCTCTCCGCTCCTAACCTAGTTTTCAGGCTTATTTCCCACGATTCCTTTACTCCCTCTGTTCTCCAGCCTCCTTTCCTCCGTGCCTCTGGTCATGCTGTGCCCTTTATCTGGTGTGCCTTTTCTTCCATCACCACGTGTACAAATTCCACCCACCTATTAGGCTCAGCCCTGATACCACCTTCCCCATGAAGCCTTTCTTGATCACCCCCCACCCCCTAGTTCTCTTTTTACCGCTGGCATTTAGGGCACCTAGTACTTTCTTTTTCTTCTTCTTTTTTTTTTTTTTTTTTTGCTATTCATGTATTATCCCCCATTTTTGGACTTTTAGATCTTTGAAGTCACCGTCTGTCCCATCTGTATTGCCCGTTAAGAGTATTTTTGCTCAGTTGGGGTAATTTGACTGAGTCAATGAGTGGGACAGAACCATTGCCCAGAAGCCTTGATGCTCTAGAGACAGGCAGCCCTTTCCTTTTCGAGCGGGCGGTGGGTTCGAGTCCTTCTCAGGCAGCATCGGGCCAGTATATGGGTTGTCATTGTCAAATCATCATCATCACCATCCTCCCTGATGTAACCAGAATGTCTACTATATGCAAAGCATGGGCCTACCACCTGCTGTGCTAGGAACCGAAACCAGGACCAAAAGCCAGATGAGTTTACATGTTTTTATTGGCTTTGATTATTAAAATAAAGTGCACATGTAACAAATGGACTGTTTTGTTCATTTTTCCATTCATTCCATCAAAGTTTATTGAGTGCCTCCTCTGAGCAGGCATTGTGCTGGGCTCTGGGGTAACAGGGAAACCAAGAGAGACCTGTCCCCTCTGCTCATACTTATTTTGTAGCATGACATACAGACAGAAAGCAAGTAAACAAACAAGTAAAATAACTGCATTTCAGGATAAATGCCATGAAAAGAACAGAGTATGAAGGCTCAGTCTAAGAGGAGGGACAGATTCTAGGTAGCATCCTAGGGGAGACAAGGGCTATACCCCGGTCCTGTGAGATGAGAAGGAGCCAGCAAAGTGAGGAACCTGGGAAGGGCTTTCTGGGCAGAGGAACAGTGCTCTCGAAGGCATCGCGATAGTTCTGAGCTCGTTGTGTACAAAGAACAGAGGCTGGTGTGGCTGGAGCAGGGTGCCAGCGAGGGAAGGGCCGGGGAGGCACTTGGAGAGGTGGGCAGGGCCAGACCTGCAGGAGGCTCTTGGATTCGTGGGACGTGAAAAAGGAAGCCATTTGGAGGATTTTAACCAGGGCAGTGAATTTGTGTTTCCTTAAGACCCCTCTGGATGCTGCATGGAAAGGAGACTGGATGCAGGGCCAGCAGCGCAAGGAGGGAAATAGCAGAATTTTGCACTCTTCCAGCTGGAGATAATGGAATCTTTAAAGAGGAATTCCTCTGATGCACACACAATAAAAAAAAAAAAAAAAAGAAAAAAGAAAAAAGAAAAAGAGGAATTCCTTCTTTTTTAAAAGAGCACAACCACAAACGATCATTATCATCACCGTAAAGACTGGTTAGAGTAACAGGGAGCAAAGTTGTTTTAAAATGTGTTTATTTTCCAGATAATGTCCTTGGACAGGGAATGCAAGTGTGTCACGGGGGATGAGCTGCATCTCTAGTTGGACACCCCTGCTCTTCATTCCTAATACAGGATGCTCCCTCTGCTTCCTGAGCCCTGAATACGGGCTTTGTTTGTTAGGAACTCCTGGCTTCTCCCGAGTTGTGTAGAGAGGCTTCTGGTGTCAGGGCCACGTCGCAGGAAATGCAGAAGCACAGGAAATGCAGAGACACAGGAAATGCTGCTGTCCCATGTGAGGCCTAGGGCTCGGACCAGAGGTTCTAGAGACACAGGAAAGCCAGTGGGAAGAGGGAGGGAGAAGTCAGTTTTCTCCAGGATGTTGAAGCTGTGTGTCACATCTGGGGACTAGTGCAGCTACCTTTACCAGCTTTCACCTTCCAACCCAGAGTCCATATTGCAGGTATTGCAGGTAATAAATACCTTCATAATAAAAAATGAGAGTGGCATCAGACTTGCGCTGAGATGCCAGAGGCAATGATCTTTAAATTCGAGACACTTGGAACTTACCATGATTAAATGACTTCAACACCCAGAGAGTTTGCAAGATGGCTATACAAACAGCAACAGTTGTCGTAAGAATGACACCTTGTATTTATGCCACATCTTTTCACCAAAGGCTGCAGAGCGTCTGACTTCTCATTGTCTCACTAGTGTTCCCCGCTACGGTTCAGGAAGCCAAGGCGCAGGAAGGCTAGGACGCTTGCTGTGGACCCGGGCCAGCGTTTCCTAGCTGTGGGCCAGAGGTCGTGTCTGGCAGATGCCGTTGCTTCTCTGTTAGGTGGCTAAGGTTGGCCCAGAGAGCCTAAGCGCTATCAGCTGATGGCTTCCCATATAAAGCTGGTAGAGAAGCCAGAGAAGAATTTACTAGACCTATTTTGAGTTCTTTGGGAGGATTTGGCGATTAGCAATATCCTGATCCCTGCGATGGGAATGGAACTCTCTGACAAGAAGGGTGGGAGAAAGTCACTGGAAACTCACCCCTGGGCTTCCTGCTTTGAGGACAGGCCCAGGGCATTGTCCAGGAGGCCACTGGAGCAGTGATGGTGATACCAGAAGTCAGTACCATGCATGCTGCTTTCTAAGTCTTTTTAAAAAAAATTATTTAGCAGCATGAATGTTTTTTTTTTTTTAATTTTAATTTTTTGTCTGTGTTGGGTCTTCATTGTTGTGCGTGGGCTTTCTCTAGTTGCTGTGAGCAGGGGCTACTCTTTGTTGCAGAGCGCGGGCTTATCACTGCAGTGGCTTTTCTTTTTGCAGAGCACGGGCTGGAGGTGTGCAGGCTTCAGTAGCTGTGGCACGTGGGCTCAATAGTTGTGGCTCGTGGGCTCTAGAGCGCAGGCTTAGTAGTTGTGGCGCACAGGCTTAGTTGCTCTGTGGCATGTGGGATCTTCCCAGACCAGGGCTCAAACCCATGTCCCCTGCATTGGCAGGCGGATTCTTAACTACGGCGCCACCAGGGAAGTCCCGCTTTCTAAGTCTTTTCATAGCTTGTGTGATTGTCGCACTATTACCACAAGGATAGGTGGATGCTGTTGTCCTGTATAACTTGGTGCCCACCCACCTTTCTAGCTTCATCTTAGGCCAGTCTCTTCCTGAGCCACTGAGCTCTGGTCACATTGGCCTCTTCATGCTCTCTGGACAAGCCGTATTCCCCTCCCTGCTTCAGGGAGTTTGCTCATGCTGCTGCCTTTGAGTAGAATACTTTCCCTCCACTCCTCCCTTTGGTCCCTGTTCCCAAGGTTAGTCTCTGTCCATCCTTTACATCTAAACTTCCTTAGTTCACTTCCACAGGTAAGCCTTACCTGACCTCAGATTAGGAAAGGTCCCGTCTAACAACCTCTCATAGCACCTTGAACTTGCCTGTCACTGTTTTCATAGCAGTTGTAATTATATGGTTATGTATGTTGTTTGAATCTGTCCTTCCTTTATTAGACTGTAGAGTCCACTTGGGGCCAGGACTGTAGCCATTTTTTGGCTTATCTAGCACAGTACCTGCCATGTAGTCAGCCCTAGACAAATGTTTGTTGATTGAATGAATGAGTTCCTGTTTTATAATTGGGGAAACTGAGGCATGAAGTGATGATGACTCACCCAAGGTCACACAGTGAGCTTATAAAGAAGCCCCCAGGGCTCCCGACATGGAATCCATGGACTCCCCTTCCCCTTATCCGACTTCCACTCTGGGGGGCTGGGTCCTCTGCCGCAGTCTCTTGTCTCTCCCTTAAACCTAGAGATACGCACCTTACCTCCCGTTTCCTCCCCTACGCCAAAGCAAGTGAGGTGCTCAGGTCCTGTAGGAAATAGTGCCATATGCCTTGGAATTCTCAGACACAAGGGCTGAGAGAGAAGTGGGAAACCCTGAGCTGATGAACCTGACCTTGCTTTGGTCACGGATTCTGCTCTCTGATCTTGAGCAGTCGAAACTGTTTTCAGCCTCAGTTTATTTACCTGTAAAATGGACATTGGATTCTCTGCTGCAGTGTGACTCACGGGGCTGCGGGAGAGAGAGAATTACATTTATGATCTTTAAGCTCCATTACAAGTCATGTGCTGTAACGAAAATCCATTACTCTTAAAAAAATAACAATGGAAGATTATGAATAACACATTCATGTCAAATTCTGGTCAGATGGACAGGAAGTTACTTGTTTTCATCAAACAGGGCAGGATTCCAGAATGCCAGGGAAAGGAGAAACATATTTTCATATATTTGAGGTGGCCCTTTAGGAAGAAAAGGAAAATTACATGAAAGTAAGTTTTGACCAGACATCTTGGGCCCACATAGAAGGGTACCCCTACCAGAGTATTCTCTTTTTAGAAAACATTTCTTGGGCAAAAAGAGTTGAAAAATGTCGGTGTTCTAGGAGGAGCTGGCTGGACGGGTCCCAGGAGAGAGAGCTGGTACCGCCAAGAGCTCCAGTTCCTGGCCAGCGTTTTGGAGGCCTAGCTTCCCAAGCCATGGCAGCATCTTCACTGTGTTAAAAAAACACACCAAAACAGAACACCCTCCGAATTACCCTCTGATGGTTTTCTCCTTTGCATTTTATTTCTCAAGGCTTCTATTTTCTTGTCATTTCAGAGGGTTTTGGAAAATGATGAAAATGTAGAAGGAGGAAATGACGAAGAGGATTTAGAAGAAGATATTCCCAAGCGGAAGAATCGGACCAGAGGACGGGTGAGCCGTGAGGGAGGAAAGAGATCAGGGAGGCCGGGGCCTGGCAAACAACTGGTCCCTAGGTTCAAAGTCCCACTGCAGCTAGATAGAGGGTGTATCCATGGTCTTCCTTGCAGGACACCCAGAGAGGAAACCTCCAGAAGAGTTCTGGTTCTCAAGTGATAGCCTGCAAGAGTTTAGAGCTGGCAAGAGGGAGAGAAGAGGCAGACGGTGCCCCGAGGGGATGGTGAGGGTCTGGGGAAGGTGGAGGTTGAGGTGTGGGTGAGGGTTGGGGGATGAGGGGAATGTGACCGCCGTCCCCGTTCCTCAGTCATAGAATAAGGCGGAAAGTGTCCTGTCCCTGGGAATGCCCCAGAATGACAGGGTCAGGACACCTGCTTTGGGGTACGTTTCACTAGGCAGAGAGTGGGAGCAAACTGGGGAAGCATGGGGGCCGCAGCTGATGGTTCCCAAGCCAGTGTGGCGGGGGCTTTGGAGGCGTGTGGGCCTGGAATGTGACAAGAAAAGGCCAGAAGCCTGGGGGAATGGCAGAGGGCAAATCCGTGGTGGAAGGAATAAAAGTATGAGGGTGACTCTTAAGGGGAGGGAGCGAAACCTGAGTGGTGCTCTCTGGCATTCGGGGTGGTCCTCCAGAGTCCTCACGTTCAAGCCCAGAGGGGTTTTCTGTGATGACCTTCAGGGCTCTGCAGGAGTATCTGACAATAGCCAGATGCAGCGGGACCTGCGGGGATGAACTGCTGCTTTCCATCTGGAGAATTAACTCTCTGAGGCCTGTCTGGCTCCTTCAGGCTCTAGGCGGGATGCCTACCCCTCCTGTGGACGAGGGGTGAGTCCTGGATGCCCTCTGAGCTTGGGTCCAGTGATAATTATGGCAAGCCTCTCTATTCCCGTGGTTCTTGTGTCTGAGTACACATCAGCAACACCACGAGAGCCTATCGAAATGCAAATTTGCCGGACCCACTCCCGAGAGTTCTGATTTAGGAAGTCTGGGGTAGGGCCTGGAGAGCTGTATTATAAGCAAGTTCCTAGGTGACTGGTGCAAGCGGCCTAGAAGTGCCCATGCTGAGCTAAGATGCTCCGACTTGGACAGGAGCTGGAATTTCTCAGTCTGGACAGGGCGGTCCTCTGATGCTGCACACCTCATAGAGTCACAACTCAGCTTCAGCCATGATCAATGTTTTGACACTCTTGTTTAATCTTTTCTTTACTCTCACTTTTGGTTGGTGTGTATGTTTTGGGGTTTGTGTGTGTGTGCGGAATATTTGAATGCAAGCCCCTAGACATTTTTTCATTTAACCCGTACATACCTCAATGTATATCTCTAACAGGTATCATTATCATACCCAATAAAAATAGCGATTCTAACATCTACTATCCAGTCCCTGATCCTTTCCCCCTGATTTCCTCAAAAATGCCTTTTTATAGTTGGTTTGTTTGAAACTTAGGTCTCTTGTATTCTATAACATACGTCTTCCTTGCTACTCCCTACCACATACATATTTCTTTTCTCCATGCCATTTATTTGTTGAAGAACTTGGGTGGTTGGTCTTGTGGAATTTCTCATATTCTAGATTTGGCAGACTGGTGGTGTTTAATGTGTCCCTCAGTCCTCTTTATCTCCTGAAAACTGGTGGTCTGATGAGAGACTTGATTAGATTCGGGATATTTGTGCGTGTGTGTAAATATTTTTTGGTAGGGCTAGACTCTCTCTTAGGTGTGATGTGTGCTTCTCATTGCCTCACATCTGGAGGTGTATCCTGTCCACTCGTTCTGCTTTCAGTGGTGGTAAAACTGATCAGTGGATTTGGGTGTTGTCAGCCAGATCTCTCCTTAGAAAGTGCCCCATCACCTTTTCACCTAATCATCTTAGTGGCCCCTGATGAACTTGCCTGGACCCATGCTTTCTTCGGGGGTTACAAAATAATGGATATCTTATTCCGTCGTTAAAGGAGGCTCTAGAATGTGGAGTTTCTGGGCCTTTTGTGAACTCCAATTGCTGTGTACCTCCAGGCCTGCTTCCAACCCTTGTCTCAGCCCAAACCAAACTTACTCGAGTAGATGATGGAGAATGGTCGTCTTTACATCTTCTCCACTCCCAACTGAAATCTAGGCATTGAACTTGTAGTTGGCAAATACGAATTGGGTGTCTTCTCTGTAAGAACACCGGCAGAAGCAGCAGCAACAGCCATTTGTACTTACTGCATACTTCCTATACATCAGGCAGTGTGATGAGCTCTTCACAATAAGAGCTACGTTACCGGACTACACCACAGTGCATCGTAAACACAATAGATCGATAGCGATATCATAAACACGATATCGATAGTGACGACAGGTCCTTTATACTGCATTCTCTATTTCTGCACTGTCCTTTACAGCAGCCACTGGCCACATGTGGGTGGCTACCAAGCACTTGACATGTTGCTAATTCAAATTGAAACGTGTAGGTGTAAAATATTCACCATATTTCAAAGATATAGTAGGAAAAGAATGGTGAACACTTCATTAATATTTTTATATTGATTACATATTGAAATGGTAATACTTTGGATAGATTGGATTAAATAAAATGTGTTACTAAAATTAATTGCATCTGTTTCTGTTTTTAACTCTTTTTTAAGAGAAAATTTAAAATGACGTGTGACCCCCATTATATTTCTCTTGGACAGCACTGCTTCTTTCATTCCCATACGTGGGCATTATTACTCCTAGAGAGGTTAAGGAACTTGTTCAAGGACATCCAACCTAGCAAGGAAGAAGCTAGGACTTGAACACAGGTCTGTGCTTTTTCTACTGGGTCACATGTGGCCCAGGGCCCAGCATGTGACCACTGACCGTTTTGTTGAATGAATGATTGAATGATGGAAAAAGAACAGAAAGTCATATTTCAGATTTATGGGAGCTGAGAAGAGGCCTGAACACAGCGAGGGGGCTGGATGGGGACTAGACTAGCTCTGGGCCCACCCGAGGCTGGCTAAGGGGCAGTCAAACAGCTCTACATTGACATTGTAGACATCCATGGTGGGAGCCGTGGGAGGACCTGGAAAGTGCAGGTGAGCCTACCTGTGTTGGAATAAGGTATGGAGCTGCTTAACCCACAGGCTCAGTGAAGCTACCCTTTAAGGTGTATTCAAGCTGCCACTGGCTCCTGGAGGAGAGTCACTCGGTTTCTGTTGTCGGGACTGAGAGGAAGTCTGAGGCTGTGCATCTCAGTACGCGGCCCTTGGGCCGCAGCCTCAGTGTCAACTGGGAGCTTGTTAGAAATGCAGACCCGCCCCCCCCCCACCAGACTCCACCCTAGGTGGGCTGAAAAAAGAGTCTGCAGTTTAACAGGACTCCCAGATGCTCTGTGTGCTCATTGAGGAAGTCAGGGCTAAGGTAGTGATGACAAGAACAGTCTCTGCTTGTTTGAACCGTGAGTTCAAATCCCAGCTCTACCACTTACTAGACTTTGGATGGCTCAGGTAACCTCTGTGACCCTGACCAAATTGAATAAGTATGCTGGGTCTCAGTTTCCTCATCATTAAAATTGGGGTAATAGTACACAACCAATTTTGAGTGCTTAATAAAGGCTAGATATTATTAGGAGGGTGCAAGCAAAAGGAACAAATCTCAGAACCTTGATAATGGAGATTCCCTCAGGGGTGAGAGAAATTGAGACCCAACAATGAATAATTGTATCTGTGGTCACTTTGGCCCAACAAATCAAAGCTCTTTAAAGTTCATGGAATTCCTGTGAGTCATCCATGTGAGTATTATCAATCAGTAAGTGTTTACGATGCACTGTGGTGTAGTCCAGGACTTTGAAACTTTAATGTGCATACAAGGCACCTGGTGATCTTGTTCAAATGCAAATTCTGATGCAGTAGGTTTGGTGGGTGGGGACTGAGATCTTGCTTGGTTAACAAGATCCCAGGAGATGGCAGTGCTGCTGGTCTGAGCACCTCACTTTAAATGGCAAGAGTGTAGAGCAGTGGTTCTCAATTATTTTTTGGTCTCAGGGATTCTTTACTTACAAATTACTGAGAGCCCCAAAAGCTATTGTTCTGGTGGGTTATAACTAGTGACACGTCCCATATTAGAAATCAAAACGGGAAAAATGTTAAACTTAAGAACACACGAGCACACAGGGTGATGACATCATTGTGTCGTGTAGCCTCTAGAAAACTCCACTGTGCACTTGTGAGAGAATGAGAGTGAAAACTTTCAAATGACATTTTAGTACTATTACAAAAATAGTTTTGACACTGGAGACTCCCTGAAAGGGTCTCAGGGACCTCCAAGGATCCCTTGAGCACTATTTGAGAACAACAGATATGGAGCGACTAGCTCTCTGCTCAGGACTGAGTCTGTCCTAGTTGAGAGTCTTTTAGTTGTAGGAAACTCAACTTAAGCTTAAGCAAAAGTGGGAAGTATTTGAAAAGCTGCTGAGCCATTGTCCCATATTTGAGCAATTTTTGAAGATTCAGGAAGGACAAGAAGGTGGCGGGGATTTAGGGTTGGGGAAGAGTAAGGAACCCAGGCAGCTCTGGCCTCTACTTCTCCTTCCTTTATTCTTCTCTTGCAGGATTGCCTCTCCTGCTTCTCTGTGCACGTGGCCCCATAGTTCCTGAATTTATGGGTCCCCCAAGTGACCTGTACTAACTAGAGTCACTGTTTCCCAATTCAGAGTACCTTGGGGGTAGAATCTGATGGGCCCAGCTTGGGTCACATGTCTATTCCTGAGCCAGCCAATCAATGGCGGCCAGTAGGGCAGGGCTGCGTGGTGCAGTCATGGCAGCCATGGCCCACCAGTGTGTGAATGGGGAGGTGGAATGGGGAGGAGTGGAGTCGGGTGAGTAGTTCTCAGAGAGGGAGGATGGTTTCTTTTGGACATCAGCTTCAAAGTTTTCTGTAACGGATTCTGGAAACCTAGGCCTCTGCCTTCTACTGGCTCTGTGACTATGGGCAAATCATGGGCCCTCTCAGAACCTGTTTCATCAAGTGCCAAGTGGGAATAATATTACTTGGTTAAACTCAGATGGTGTTGTAGGAATTAACCGAGCTAATATATGTGAAAGGGCTTTGGATGCTGTGCGCCCAGCATAGTGCTAAATGTCACGGGTTCATAATAAAGTATGAAGCGCCATCTTTGCCCTCGAGGACCTTGGAATTAAATTGAGGAGAAAATGCTAATAGTCATGATACAATTAGAAAGCAGCAGGCTTCTGACCATGCACTTACCAAATGCAATAAGAGTTCAGAGGAATGAGCAATCAACTGGGCAAGGAGGGGAAATAATTTATTGAGTACTTCCTGTAGACCTGGTTCTGTCCCCTGTGGTTTCACACCCCCTTATTAGCACTACAACTCTGCAATAAAGATGTTGCTATGCCCATTTTACAGCTGAGAAAACTAACGCTTAGAGAAGTAACTTGTCCAAAAACACATGCCAGTGTTTAAACCTATGTCTGTCTGACTTTATAGCTGATGCTTTACTCCTCAGTGTGGCAAGAGGAAGATTCTTGGAGGTGTGGCATGTTAGCAAGGCTAAAGCATGGACCAGATGTGGATGGGCAGAGTAGAGGCTGATCCATGACCGGGATCAATCAAAACAAAGACTTGGACGCAGCGTCAGCGTGAGGTGATCCTGGTAGGACTGGCACTAGGTCATCAGTGTATATGTCAGTGGGCTTTGGATGGCAGTGAACGAATGGATGACCGTGGGCTCCCGTCCTTCGCTCCTTTTGTCTAATTGGTCTGAGACTCATGCAGGATGGATTGGGTAGGGCAACGCAGAGGTAGAACCCCAGCTGGCGGGTTCTTCGAGCAGTTCAGGGGTTAATTGATGAGCTCCTGGATTAAGATGTGGAATAGAAGGGAAACACAAAGCCTAAGATGGCTTTTGAAGGAAGACACAATAGCACCTGGATACAGAGAATGAAGAAGAACCAAAGATGATTCACTCACTGACCAGCCGACTGATGGATTGATTCATTTACGCAGCAAACAGTTATTAAGCGCTACTTCGGTGACTGGCCCTGTGCCAGGTTCCAAGTATAATGGTCACCCAAATAGACGTTTTCCACCCTTATGTGGGGGAGATGGAAAACCAACAAGTACACCGACACACATATAATATAACGTCAGACAACGCTATGTGCTATGACATGAAGCAGGGTAGGGGTAAGAGACTGATGGAGGGGATGAGTGAACATGCATTGGTCAGGAGGGCTTCTCTGAGGAGGTGACATTTGAGCAAGACAAGTAGGATTCCGAGTTTCCAAGCTTGAAACATTCCAGGAGACTAGAAGTGTGCTCCAGCCACAGGAGGCGTCCCTTGCCTGTCCCCTCAATGCCCTATAGCCACGATCCCCTTTTTGCAGTTGGGGAAACTGAGGTGCAGGGAGAAAGCGGGAGCAGCAGCCACCCTGCCAGCAGCCCTGCAGAGCGCAATTAAACCCTGGCTCTCAGCGGGGCCCCCCGCTTCCTGCTGGCTGCTCCCAGCTCCAGCTCTCCTCTTCTCCTGGGTGGTATTTTTAGTCTCCCAGAACCCCCTCCCTGAGTCTGCTGTTGCCTCTGTCATTCTGCTTGACTTGCTTTCACCTGCTCCCAGGCGCCTGTGACAGGGCTGCGGGCGGCACACGTCAAGCTGTCCCCGGCTTCTCCAAGGGGGGCTGGGGGGGGGGCGCGCGGGCAGCTGAGGGTGACCACCCTCAACGTGGGCAGGCGGGGAGGCCTGTCAGTGCCTCAGGGTGACTGCCAGTGCCGCCCAGCTCCCTCTTGGGGTCAACTCTGAGTAATGAGGGCGAGGGGAGGGGACTGCGGGCTGGTGCGTGTGCAGGGGTGGGGGGCGGGGAGGCTAGGAGGGGAAGTGCCCTGGAGGGGAGGGAAGGAGGGAGGTGGAACTTTGTAATTTGTTTTGGAAAGAGACAGCCGAGGAGGTGGTGGCCTTGGTAGCTTGGCAGGTGGTGTTGATTGTGAAGGGTGTGTGTTTGGGGAGAGTGTGAGCCCTGTAGGGCTGGGGTACAGGCCTTTCCACTGTGACATCCCCAGGGAAACTGTGTGTGTGTGTGTGTGTGTGTGTGTGTGTGTGTGTGTGTGTGTGAGCAACTCAAGGCCTTTTGACCGTGAAGTCCCCCCGGGGGTCACTTTTCCAGACCAGGCCCCTGGGACTGCCCCATTTTCCCTGCACACCAGGTGTTGCCGTGTTTTATTTCTCACCTGCTGCACCTTCTTCTCTGTCCCCAAAGACCCCAGCAGGCCCTTACCTTGGTTGGGAGTTTACTGCTACTCATTACCAGAGAATGACCTGGAGGAGGCTAGGGTGCTACCCATGTGACCGGTGTGGGACTTACAAAGGTCTAAAAATAAACCTTGCCATGTTCTTGTAGCCACTGTCCTGGGGCTGCCCAGCCGCCAGCTCCCTCTCTGGCTGCTCTTGTCTATCCTTGGAGGTAGAGCCCATCCCACCCTCACCCCGGATGATGCTGGCCTCTCTGGAGATGCACACAGGGTGGGGGTCTCAAGAGTCCAGCCCCAGGAGGGTGTGAGGCGTCAAGGGCCCTTGCCACTGGCTGGAGCCCCGAGGCAGACCACACAGGGGCTCTCAGCCGAAGCTTGCCCCATGGAGTAGGCCGAGCAGGGGGGGAGGGGAGCTCACGACCCGATGCTGGGCCTGGCTGCCTCTTTTTTTTTTTTTTAAAGCATTTTCTGGTCTATCTCATCTTTTTCTAAAATTTATTTTATTTATTTTATTTTTGGCTGTGTTGGGTCTTTGTTGCTGCACGCGGGCTTTCTCTAGTTGCGGCGAGCGGGGGCTACTCTTCGTTGCGGAGCATGGGCTCTAGGCACGCGGGCTCAGTAGTTGTGGCTCACGGGCTTAGCTGCTCCGAGGCACGTGGGATCTTCCCGGACCAGTGCTCGAACCGTGTCCCCGGCGTTGGCAGGCGGATTCTTAGCCACTGCGCCACCAGGGAAGCCCTGGCTGCCTCTTGAGAGAATTGAGCTGGAGGGGAGTGTGAACACAGGAGTCTGGGGTGATAGCTGCATTTACGCTACTTGCTCTAATTCGCCCGTTATCTGGGCAGCTGAGGGGAGCTGGGTTGGCATCCACATGTGGTTTCAGTGAAGCTGGCTAAGGAGTTGGAGGAAGAGATCCTAGGGGCAACAGTAGAGGATGGGAATTCTGACTGCTCAAGGCTTTGCGGTCAGACTGTCCTGAGTTGGCCTCCTGGCTCTGCACTTAGTGAGCAGGTGACCTTGGGAAGCTACTTAACCCCTCTGTTGCCTCATTCTCCTAAATCTGTAAAATGGAGATAATAGTAGCACCTGCTTCTCGGAGTTGTGAGGATTCAATGAAGTGATACGGGTGAGTAGCTGAGTGATTTGGGTAGGTTACCTAGCGCCTCTGGGCCTCAGTTTCCTGGCCTGTAAAATGGGGTTGGTATATGAGAGACTACAAATGTAGTATAAAGTTGAATGAGGAGATATGGGTGAAGCGCTCAGGGCCTCACAGGAAACGTGCTCAGGAACCGAAGTGATTGTCAGCATAACAAGCATCCCAATATTCCCGTGTCTCCCCAGGCCCGCGGCTCTACAGGTGGCAGAAGGAGGCACGACGCCGCCTCTCAGGAAGACCACGACAAACCTTACGTCTGTGATAGTGAGTATGGCAGACGCCGCCTTCCTGCCCCGGCCCCATGCTTCCTGTGCCGCCCCAGCCTCAGGCTCGCTGGCTCCTGCTCTCAGGCCTGCCTGCTGCTGCCTCACCGCAGTCACACCCTGACCTGCACTCGTTGCTGCTCCAGGCCCTGGTGTCGCTGTCGCAGGAAGGGGAAGCAAGCCCGGAGGCGGCCGCACCGTGCTCCCCTCCCTGCAGCGCCCCCCTTCGTGGCTTTCCTCCGGTCTCTCTCTCGCTCTGTCTCCTTAAGGTTCATCCTCTATTTCTTTCTCTGTTTCAGAGAATTCAAACAAAAGCATAACTCAAAATCCTCCGACAAAGGTACTTGGCTCCTGTGGCTTTTCATTTGTTTCCCTTTAACTTCCTTTCTCTTTCTCGCTCTCCTGTCCTAGGTGGGGCAGGTTATGAATCTTTCTCTGACCATGACTTAGTTTAATAAATGGCCCTCGATCCATCTCCAGCTTCTCTTGCTTGCTTCTGAAACATCTTTGGACAAGCGACTGCCTGGCTCCTGGGTTTAGGGTCTGCAGACAGATATGGGGAGGGGCCAAGGGGCAGAGCAGCGGGGGCGGTGGCAGCAGGTGGACCTCCAGGGACCTGCAGCTTTCCGGGGGATTGCTGTCAGCTTGAGAGAGCTTTTGTCTTTCTCACCTATCAGATCACTGGGGGGTGGATTTTTTTCTTTTTTTTTTTTGTGGTACGCGGGCCTCTCACTGTTGCGGCCTCTCCCGTTGCGGAGCACAGGCTCCGGACGCGCAGCCTCAGCGGCCATGGCTCACGGGCCCAGCCGCTCCAGGGCACGTGGGATCTTCCCGGACCGGGGCACGAACCCGTGTCCCCTGCATCGGCAGGGGGACTCTCAACCACTGCGCCACCAGGGAAGCCCCTGGGGGGTGGATTTAAAAGCCTTGCCTTAGGGACTTCCCTGGTGGTCCAGTGGTTAAGACTCCACACTTCCACGGCAGGGGGCCTGGGTTCAATCCCTGGCCGGGGAACTAAGTTCCTGCATGCCTTGTGGTGCAGCCAAAAAAAAAAAAAAAAATCCTTTCCCTAGTAATCTTCTCACCGTATCGGGTGCCATCTGCTCGCTCCATGGCAAGGGCAGCCCTGGAAACCTCTCTCCCTGACCATGTTCCCTTCCCACTTTCTCCTCTCTGGGGAAGGAGAGCTCCGCCGTGGGCGAGAAGGGGCTGCAGTGAGGATGGCAGCGGGGCCGCTGAGGCAGGGCCCCGGGCACAGTAGTTCCTCGGGCGTCCTGCCCGCCTTGCCAGTGTCTGCAGTCTCCGTGAAAGTGGGAGAGACCCAGGGGAAGATGGGGCACAGGGAGTGCATCGGGGGTGGCGCCCTTTTCCTCCCTCTTCACTGGCCTCTTTTGATTTCAAAAAGTTGTTCTGTGCCCGGTGGGGTGACAGCTGGTTGGAGAACCTTTTGCTAGAAGAACTCAAACTCCATGACCCCCACTTGGCTGCTTAATACACCGTGCAGATGACATTCCTGAGACGACTCCTGCAGGTAACATCTCCATCCCAAGCCGAGGCAGGTTCAGCATGAGGAGGGAGCAGGGCATGGGTCTGATGTCTCTCGGCAATACCAGGAGGTGCCTGCTTCCGCCTGGGTCTTGCTTCCTGGATGGGGTTCAGTTTTGTTCTGATGTATAAAAGCCCAAGCGTGCTAGCCCTTGGGAGACTGATTCCGGGCTGGGAAGGGTCCTTCAGACCCCCAGGGGGCAGGCTTTCCAGCTGTGTCTGGCCAGAGCAGCCCAGCTATCAAGAAGGCCAAGAGCTGCTTTGGAACTGGGGCATTGCCACTCCATTCCTCTTTCAAAAAGCTGTATTTTCTTAGGTGATTTTCTGCTACCGCAGATAGTGGGATTACCTTTCACGCTCTCTCTCCAGCTTTCATTGGGTTCTCAGCCGGAAATAATCCCAGACACACCCGTGCGCCCTTCTCCACCCTCCCCTCAGTTCCTGTCTTCCCTGGCTTTGCCTCCTTAGTATTAAATCCACGAAGCGCCCTTGTGGGTGTCCCTGTCTGGCCTGGCTCACCCCCTCGCCCCCGAGCTCCTGCGGCTTTGTTTAGGGCTCTCAGTGCCGTGTGCCGTTTCCTGTTGCCCTCCCCACGGGCTCTGTGTCTCCTCCTGTTTACCCTGTGGAGCTTGGGAGGCCTGATTGCAGGCCTGGTGGCAGCTTTCTGGAAGTCTCAGGGGCTGATGTCTTGGCTCTGCCTGCACAGGCGCTGCCTGCTTTTTCCTCCCTCGGCGGGACAAGGTCCACCGTGGAACGCCCGTCTCTATCCTGGCTCTCTTAGGAAATTGTGTGGCAGCTCAGTGATTAATAGACTTTATTTTTATCTGGTGCCCTTCAGACATGTGATCCTTTGGGATACGAATGACCTTTGGAGAGGTCACAAGGCCCACCTCCCACCCCCCCAGCTGAGCAAGGAATGCTTTTAATAATCTCTAATGCATCCTAAGTAGAGAGGTGTCTCGTCAACTCCTTGAATGTCCCCAGGGATGGTGTTACCATAAGCTGCCCTTTCTTCCATGATTCCAACTGTGCTTTGAATGATTGTTTTTTCCTTAATAAGAGCTGAAATTTTTCTCTCCTACAGGCCCGCTTAGCTTTTGTGCATCTTTTCCCAACAAATAGGCACCTTCAGGATTTCGTCTATGCTGGAGGCCCTCATAACATCCCCTTGTATTCTTGGTTTACCTAGGGACGCATCCCATAATTTCTGCGATGGCCAGCTCTGAATTCTCTTCCAGGTTTAATTTAAGCTCAGCACTTTCATTGGCAGTAGCACCCAGACCAAGTGGTTCAAAGAGTAACACATTCCCTTGTTTATTTTACACATCGGCTTTTAACACCACCCACCTCTGTAGAGAACAGAAGTAATTGGCCACCCCATTGCACTGTGTACCATCTCAAACACTTCCCACCCGGTGCCTGTCCTGACCCCCGGGCCAATGCCTCTCCAGGTGTGTGCTCTTTTCTACTCTTCTACATTTGATTATTCCTGCTTCCATAAATCACTCTGTATTTGGCCCTACTGAGTCTCCATAAAGAGATACAATAATACGTGACTTCAATATGCAAGATTCAATAAAGGCAAATTTAAAGACATTGCCCAGTAGTTAAATTTCATTCACCACACAGTCACAATCCCTGCCATTTTTGTATGGTCTATGGATTGATTTGCATAATCTCCACTCCATCTTTCGAGTTATTTATGAAAATATGAGGCCACCTTGGACCCCACCACCTCTTTCCGGGTTTCTGTGGAGTAGTTGTAGCTATTTTTCAGATGTGATTGTATTTAACCATTCCTGGTGTATATTCCTATATAGTTGTCCTGCTCTGTTCTCGGTCCAAGCTTCCCTTTCAAGGTGGGTGGTTGAAATATTATCTTAGCTGCTAACTTCAGGTGATAGATAGTTTGCTTGTTATCTTTCACTCAGCCCCTGAATTTATTCCATCTCAGAGAAATATTAAAATCATCTGAACATAATTTATTTTTTACCCAATCCATGGTGTGTGTGTAGATGAATTCTTCATTTTCCAGCAAGTAACCAATCTCTGTTAATTATCCTGAAAGTTTGCCCAGCTTCAGGATTAAAGTTCTGTTTCTTCCCTTTCAACCTCTTGCCAAAGGGAAAGTGTTCATTCCCTACAGCAAAGCGCCTACATGTGACTTTGTAGGAAAGGCTGTTGGTGCTGGTCAAAGTGTGGACCTGGACCACCTGTGCAGAGATAACCGAGATGTTTATTAAAATGTGGATTCTTGGGCCTCACACCAGAGCTCCTACGTCAGAATCACTGGGAGTAGGCCTAGGAATCTGCATTTTGAGAGCTTCTCGGGCGATAATTATGAACACTGATTTTTGAGAATGACTGTTCTATCGCATTCAAATTCGAAGGCTTCTGGCCTCTGACTGATCCGCCCTTCTATTATTCCCTGTTTTTTGCATCTGGAAGTTCTGGAATCTCCTGGAATTCTCCAGGCAGAGTGCCACCAGCTTGCATTGCTGTTTTAGTTGGTCTCTTTAGAATCTTTCCTTTCCTGTTCTTTCAACATTGATATAAAACTCAGTAGTCCGAAATAAAATTCAGCAACCCAACACTTGACTTTAGTTTACTTAATGGCTTTAAATCCCAATAATGTAATTAACTCCCTTTTATAGGTGAGATGATAACTGGGGATAGACATATGAAAGAAATACTTGGGTTTGGGCTACTGAGATATTTTGAAAATAATTTCAAGAGTTTGCCACTTCTCTTCCTAACTGTTCCCAGCCCTGGATTTTCTGTCAGCATCACTGGGGCAGACTCCTGATGAGAGACTCACTTTTCTGTTTGCCTTGTTCAAGGAGCATCATAGGAAAGAAGATGGTGGTGATGGGGTGATGTTCAGGGAGAAGGAGAACATTCTGTCTCTAAGCTTCAGCCATTTAGGGAGGAACAAAGCACCCATTTACCCTTCTGCAGGGCACAATGGAAGTGGTTTGTGAAGTTTTTTTTTTTTCCTTTCCCAATTTTTTCTTTAAAAAAAATTAAATTTAATTACATTGTAGAAAGAACAGTTAACCTGAGACCCACCCTCTTAAATTTTTAAGTGCACAATATATGTTGTTCAGTAGGGGTACATTGTTGTGCAGAAGATATCTAGAGGTTGCTCATCCTGCTTGATGGAAACTTTATGCTTGTTGGTTAGCAATTTCCCATCACCCCCTCCCCACCAGCCATTCCAGTCTTCGACGCTTTGAATTTGTCTACTTTAGAGAACTCATATAGGTGGACTCACGCAGTACTTGTCTTTCTAGGACTGGCTTATTTCACTTAGCATAATGTTCTTGAGGTTCATCCGTGTGACTGCGTATTGAATAATGCAATATTCCTTTTAAAGGATGACTAATATTCCGTTGTATGTGTATACCACATTTTCTTTATCCATTCATTCATTGATGGGCATTTAGATTGTTGCCA